GAAGTGGCACCGGGGTTGGGTGAAAGGAGACAGGACGGAAAGCCACGCGGGAGAGAAACCGGGGAAGGGGAGAAGGGAGCCCCAGGGGGCGGGGGGGCCGGCCCCTCCCCCCCCCCCCCCCCCCGCGCCAGTAGGGATGGCCCCGCACTGCCCTGGACGGGTGTTTGGCTGCAAAGTTGTCCACTTGCACTGAACCCAAGTAAAACGCAAACTCAACGAAAGGGGCGGCGGGGGCGGAAGGAGAGCGGCCTGCAGCCCGGACGAGCGGCGCTTTTGCCGACGGGGCCGGATCCCTGGGCGCGCAAAGCCAGGGAAGGTCCAGCAGACCTCCAAGAAATGCGAGGACTGGACCTTCGTGAACGCGGATTGCGCTGGTTTCTGGGCCCGGATGGATGGGCTGTGCTGAGTGTCCAGAGCCGCCCATCTCACTTGCACGTGTACACAAGTAAAACCCAAACTAAACAACTCGCCTAACTTATCCATTAAAAACCGATTAAAAACCATTTTAAAAAACTATAACAACAAAAAGACAGGGAAGAATGCCATCTAAATGTATATACCAGACATTTAACGGGCTCCACGCTTCCATGGGATCCGCAGCCAGATGGCAAATGTTCAACTCTTGTGTTAGGGTCTGCTGCAGTCCTCCCTTCCTTCCTTCCTTCCTCCTTCCCTTCACTCTCTTCTTCCTTCCCCTCTCCCTTCCCTCCTCCCTTCCTTCCCCCCTCCCCTCCTCCCTTCCTTCCTTCTTCCCTCCCCTCCTTCCTTCCTTCCTTCTTCCCTCCCCTCCTTCCTTCCTTCCTCCCCTTCGTCCCTCCCTTCCCTTCTCTCCTGTCCATTTGTATACACAAAAGTTCTGCTTTGCAACTTTCTTGCAAGTTGTATCCAGATAAGGCAAACCAAGGGCCTTATCACCCCTCAAAGGATAAAGAGTGATCCTGTGCAAGTTTATTCCTACATCAACGTGTTGCTTAATCTAGATAAACAGATAAATTTAGGCCTGCAGTTGGGGCTGCCCTCAAGGTGGGACTTGGGGACAGACATCCAGGACCCTGTGCTGCCTCTCTTCTCCCCCCTTCCCCCCCCCCCCCCCCCCCAACAAACAAGGCAGATTTATCAGGCTGCAAATAAATATTACAGTCTTAAAGATGCTGGTGTCCAGCGTTTGAAATGATCTAATCCTGCTCCAGCCTGGTGAGAGCATCTCTTTCTCAACTGCCCCAGATCCAGAGGCTGGATTTGCAAAACCTTCTGACCCACAAGTTAGCTTGATCCCAAAATGGGTGGTGCAGACCCAGCCACAGGGTGCTCTGTTGGCTCAGATTCCCCTCTGAGGAATAAAGCAGAATTTAGCCAGAGGTGAGTAAGTGCGTCTTGCCGCCCCAGTTGGGTCCCTGCTTGCAGCAAACAGACCACACCTATCTGGGGAAGCGACCTGCAAATCTTTCCTTTCTCAGGCATGGAGTGGGATGATTTTTTAGAAGCAGAAGCCGCCGAGCTGCAGCAGAAGGGAGGCAGCTGGCGTCCTCTCCAAATTGCGTCCAGCGCCGGCTTTCTCATCTACTTTGCTTGGACTGGAGCATTGGCCCTCGGCTTCCGCAAAGTCTCTCTGCAGGTATCTGACTTCAGATCATTTTTAAGCCCAGAGGTGAAGGTGACTAGCCTAGGAGTGGGCAGGCCACATCCTGCCCCCCCCTCCATTCAGCCCCTGGTACAACCCCAGATTGCACTGCCAAAACCTGGGACCAAACCACTGAACCCCTCCCTTAAAACTCTCCATAGCGGATCGTTGTCCCCTCCCCTGGTCTTGGGCCAGTATAAGAGTAAAAGGGGGCCCGGTTCCCCTTAACCCTCCCCCCAGTGGGCAAAGCATTTGGCTCTGCCCCTTCAGCCACGTCTCCTGAAGAATTGGGAGGTCTGAAAAAAGTATTTCATTTTTTTTTTTAAGTAAAAAGTACAGCCTTCTAGCTGCAAAGAGGTTCCCAGCCCAGTCTAACCAGTTGCAGTAAAGCCTCAGTGGATCTCGTTTAGTGGGTTGGACGGCTAATTTCTGTCTGGATTTGGATGCTGGTTTCGCCTTGAAATGATGGAGAAATCTATAGCACCCAAAACAGTCCCCCCAAAAAGCACTTGAGTTTACACGAAATGGCATGAGATTTACGTCATGAGATTTACGTCATTGGAGTCCGTTTATGCCGTCTGCGCAGGGAGGTCAGGGAGGGACTGAGACAAATGCCATAATTAGTGAACGGTTGCCATTGTGCAAATGATTGCATTTCAGATTTAATGGACGTTGGGGCATCAGATGCCCCCTCCCCCCCCCCGAAGTCTGTTCAGTCAAGGATTGACTCATGGAAGGCCTGCATCTCTAGGGCGGAGAAATCTCTGTTTCCCACAAAGCTCATCACCCCCTTTTCTGTGACTCAGGTGCCGTACGTGCCGTCCAGTGCCAAGCAAGTCCAGAACATGATGTCACTGCTAAAAGGGCACTCAGGGAAGCTGGTGGATTTAGGCTCCGGCGATGGCAGAATCGTAAGAGCAGCCCAAGGCTTAAATCCTGTATTTTAAGGCTGCGTGCATTTGCTCCCTGCCACCCCAGGAGGGCAGGGGTAGGGAGCAGATGACATTTGCTGATGACCCGTTGTGCACAGGTCAGATGGACATCATGGCTTGCTACAGATGCTGCTCGGGGGGCCCTGCCCTCCCCCTCCATCCCATGGTGGCTGAGATAAACTCTTCTTCTGATCCCTGGACAGATCCTATGCTTCTCCTGTAACGCTCTTTGCCCTTTTATATGCCTCAAAGTGATTCTTTTCTGCACTCTGTCCACTTTACCACTCTTGTTTCTACTCAAAAAGGCTCTGCCCCAAGAACCTATAGTCTAAAACGGTGTTTCTCAACCTTAGCAACTTTAAGATGTGTGGATTTCAGCTACCAGAATTTTGAGCCAGCATGGCTTTCTCTTCCTCCTCCTCCTCCTCCTCCTCCTCCTCCTCCTTCTCCCTCAATCCTAAAAGGCAATTTCACATTCATCCTATCTGAACCATGAGCTCCTCAGTCCTGGTCCATCACCACCACCACTGTCTCTCTCCAGACTGAAACAAAATTGATGGACAAGTTGAGAGCTAACTGTAGAGATACGACATTGAACTTAGAACCCAGGTTCAGATCCCTCCATGAAAGCTCCCTAGGTGATTTTGGGCCATTCATTATCACTCAACAGAACCTACCCTACAGAGTGGTGGTTGTGGGGGGAGGGGGATCAAGGAAAGAGTGCGGACCCTTGAATTCCTGAGAAATATTGAGATATAAATCTAGATTAAAGAAGAGCAAGCTTCTGGTTCATGTAGGCCCATTTTTTTCATTTGTCCTTCTGGAGCAGCAATTATTGCCTTCTTTATCCAGAAAGCACACAAGATCTTCTCCAGTAAAAGATACAGTAAAACTCTTTTTTGCATAGGTGTTGCAAATATAACAGATTTCTTTGAGAAAATGCACAGGGAGGCACAAATATTACGAGCGATGCGGAAAGATTAGGGAATCTATAATGGTTGTGCCCATCTTGAGTTGAATTGAACCCTGTCTGGTGTCTGTGGCTGGTAGGTGCCCAGTTGGCCAACCTTGTAACCTCCCAGTTTCTCACCCTAGACTCACATATGCTGGCTGGGGAATTCTGGGAGTTGAAATCCACATGTCCTAAAGCTGCCGACATTGGGAAACATGCATCTGTGTCTTCTGTGTTTCTAGGTATTGGAGGCCCATAAGCAAGGTTTCCGACCAGTTATTGGCTACGAACTCAACCCATGGCTCTTGAAGCTCTCCCATTTTCATGCATGGCGGGCTGGCTGCTATGGAAAAGTTCTCTATCGCCAACAAGATCTTTGGAAGGTTGTTATTTTCAACATGGAAACTACATGTTCATGTAGCAATTCATGGGAGTTGTTAAAGTAAGAGTAGAAACAGGATAGACAGGTTTGCAGGTGAGCACCATAACCCTGGTGTGGTTCCTCTCCATTCTGCAACCAAGTCATGATCTGTGAGGCTCCAACCTCTGGTTCTGTAAATGGGGTGGCATTTGAAGGACTTTTGGAAAACAGCCCGTTGAAAGTATTTTTTGTTTCCATGGTGGCTGTGTTGGCTCAGACTCCTGGGAATTGGACTTCAGCAAACCTCTGGAGGGCAGTAGTCTCCACATCTGTCTGTTTCACAAGTTGTCTCTGAAGGTCTGGAACCTTAGGAAAGAGAGGCCAGGAGTGCCAAGCATGGCAGAGAATAGTCCTCTCCTAGGAAATGGTGACTGAGCTATCATGTTTAATCTTGGAGGCTTTGATGATGCTAATTCATGCCATTATCATCTCAAAGCTAGACTACTGCAACGTGCTTTACATGGGGCTGCCTTTGAAGACTCTTTAGAAACTGCAATTGGTGCAATATCAGCAGTCTTGTTTGCTGGTAGGTGAGAATCACTGCAACCATGTAAACCCATTTTGCATTCGCTTCAGGTCAGTTTTGGGTGACAATTCAAAGTGCTGGTTTTAACTTGTAAAGCCCTTCGTGGCTTGGTCCCAGCATCTTCAGGGCCATCTCCATCAAACAGAGTTATCCCATTCCTTCTTTGGAGTGAGATGCTTAAGGTATCCCCACCCAAGCAGTTGGGTGGGCCCAGAGGCTGTGTTTCTTCAGTGCAGCCCCTTCCCCTTGGTATAGCCTCCCCCCAAAAGTTCACCTGAGAGCCAGGTTGGTGTAGTGGTTAAGGCACCAGACTAGAAACCAGGAGGCGTGAGTTCTAGTCCTGTCTTGAGCGCAAAGCCAACAGGGTGACCTTGGGCCAGTCCCTCTCTCTCAGTCCTAGGAAGGAGGCTACGGCAAACCCCTTCTGAAAAACCTTGCCAAGAAAATTGCACAGACTTCTCCAGGCAGTCGCCAGGAGTCAAAAACTGACTTGTGGGCACACACACGCACACACAAGGTTCACTTGGTGCCCATTCTGATGTTCTTCAGGAAGGCTGTTAAAATGGTATTGCTCCATAGAGCATTTGATCTTTGCTATTAATTGGGATTGGGCCCTGGGGGAGATGTGTCTTATTTAGGCCAGTGATGATTTTTACTAATTAGCTGCTTTGTTTTTATGATGTCGGTTAGGGTTTTTTATGTGTAGAGAGAGTCTCATTCTGGCATACAGCAGAATATAAAAATATAAACATTGCAGATGATTCAACACAGAGTCGGAAGCCTCTTTTAGCTGATGGCTCCAATCTTGCAGCAGGAAGATATGCCATGAATGGGTGGGGCCAAAACTAGTAGTAGGTGGGGCCAGATCCCAAAGGAGTTGAACCAACCATTTATTTTTTTTTTAATGGACACCTCTTCCAAGCCGCAGGCCACCAGGGAAGGAAGTTATATCTAGTTCCCAACCTTCAAAATGATCAGATGCAAGGGGCTTTTGAAATTAGATCAAGGACCCCAGATTGTTTCTCCTGGTCATTCATTAATAGGCTGTGTTAGCCAACCATACTTTAGCAGGCTGTGTGAACCTAGTCTATTTGGTTAGATTAGAGTTGAATGCTTTTGTCCTTTTCAGAACTGAGAAAACTGGGTCATACTTGTCATGGTTAGAAGTCAGGAGAGCAGGTGGAGTCAAATGATGCAAACAGTGTTGCAGCACTGTTGCATTGCAAGCTTCATCCCTTTCATATGTGTGTCATGCACGTACAAAGGGGCTGAACTTGCATGGCGGTAGCATGGCCCTGCTTTTGCCATATTGACTAAAGAGACCGATCCTGTCGATTCTTCTGACCACAGGTAAGCATCTTCTGTGAATGCAGAGGTGGAGATCTCAGTTCTCCCCATGGGTGTCCTTGAGGAACCAAGGCCACCATCTGCAAAGAAGAGGGAGGTAGCACTTGATGGGAGAAATCTCCCAAGAACAAAGCACATTTAAGAGAACCTCCGCCCAGATAGTTGAATAAGAGGTGCGCTCTTGTCAAGAGGCCTGCATTTCCACAAAGGCCCAATTGCTGACTCCAGGTGAGGAGACAGGGAAAGTAGGCTATGGTTCCATCAGCGGGAGTGCTTAGGACCACAGCATGTGGATTGATTCCAGTAGAAGAGACTCTCTGAAGCTCAGGGTTGAACTGTGGAGTCCTTGGTGCTCTCTGAGCTTGGTTGTTTGCTTGCAGACTGTCAGGCCTAGCCCAAGGAACTCCAAGAGACCATGTAAATTCAGTCCAGCTATGTTTATTAGCTACAACCTCTAGCAAGA